TTTTGCAAGATTTTTATAATTTTAAATTGATTGTTGATTTAAAAGCAGATCTCAGTTAAGAATTACAAAATTCAAACTTTAAATGGGTTATTTTGTGCTTGTTATAATTTTGACCCAAGTCAAGTCTGAGCTGGAGCTTTAATCTGAGTTGGAATCTAGGTGGTGTAATTCTTCACAAGCTATTCACGTGGGTTCTCTATGGCTATGTCAGCAGAGTTCAGGGTTTTTTGGGGATTGAGTGAATTGTAAGATTCTCTGATATATTACAGAGAAAGGGTGTGCATGTAGGGAGTTCAATTTCATTCTTCTTCTCAACTAAATCAGTGAGCTTATGAGGGATTCTTTGTGTAGAGAGCTGGGTTCTTTTGATTATAATCTCTAATTGAAGCATTGGTGCAAATAAAGCAGGAAACACATCAAGCACAGTGGATTGTAGACCAAATTTGGTCGAACCACTTTAAAATTCTGTGTGTCTTTCTTCTTTCTCTCTATTTTTGATTCATTTAGAGTTCAGATTATGGTGTTTGAATTGCGTATTTTCCCTCTGTGATAAGGTACAAGAAATTAGTTGATTCTGAGTTAATTTGCGCAACAGTGCTCTATATAGAGAGGTTTCCACCATTCTTATTTTTGACCCAATCACTCCCTCTCTTCATTTACCCATAGTCTTCTTTTCTCTTTCAACTCCTTCTCCTTGCTCATCACAATCACAATCCTCTGCTGACGGCGACAACCCATATCCGATCTCCGATCCCGAACCCGTCGGCCAGGCCAGCAACCTCCACCCACGCCAGTCTGACCCTGACGTTCAGATCCTTTGTTATCACAACCTTCGACAAATCTTGTCGACATCATTTATACAGGTGAGTAAGGCGGGTAATTTTTTTTTTCTTTGTTTCGTGTTTATCTTGGCTGTAATTCGCGTTTGAATGTTTGCTGAAGATTGTAATGATTCTTGGCTGTTTCACGTTTGAATTTTTGCTGAAAATTGGAATGAATCTTGCCTGCTTCGCGTATAAATTTTTTTTGCTGAAAATTGAACGTTCTTGTACTGTTTTTGGCGTGAAAATTTAAAATTTAACGATTCTAGGACTGTTTTTTTTTTCATTGGCTAGAGTTAGGATTATTTTCCATGTTAGATTTTTCTGACATTTTTAGACGTTATGAGTATTTTTAAGTGTAGTGTTATTAATGCTTTAAAATTTGTTTTTGGGTATTTGAGTATTATTTATGTTTTGGTATTATTTATTCGTCTTGGTAGAGTTCCGGCTATGCACGAGAATCTTCAAAACAAATGTTTAGTTAAACCTTAACAAATTATCTTTGTAAGGAAGAATTTCTTTAAAAATTAGGTTAAAAAACACTTTTGGTCGTTAACTTTTATTAAATTAACGATTTAGTTATGTACGTTAATATTGGTTACAATTTGATCCGTACCGTTAAAAAAAAATTAGATTTAACCGGACGTAGCGGGTACATGTGTACAAATTAAATTGCCAACTATAGGAGTTGGTTCAATATTGGATTGGAAATTTAGACCAGGAAAACGTCTCCCTCTCTCAGCCCATTCGCAGCGCCATCGCATGGTCAGGAATCTAAAAATTAAGCTCCACTCTCGAGATTTAATCTCTCCTTCATCTCACAGATATTATGCAAACTGCACCAAGCTCCGAGCCACCAGCATAATCGGAGAGATTTAACCGTTGAATCTTCCCACAAGTTCAAAATCAAATGTTAGTTGCCCTTCTCCTCGTGTACTTCAAGGAGAAGCCATCGAAAGCCGTCGTTCAGAGGCTAAGACGATAATAAGAATGGGCTGAGAGAGCCGAGGAAACTGAGGGAGACATTTTCCTCCTTTTTGGTTTAAAGTCCTAAACCTGTCTAAATATGAACCAATCGGATTTTGAATCAACCCGTACAGTTTTTTTAATTTGTACACATCTACACGCCACATCAGATTTAGTTAAATCTGACTTTTTTTTAACGGTAGGGATCAAATTGTAACCAATGTTAAAGTACAGGGACTAAATCGTTATTTTAATGAAAGTTCAATGACTAAATCGTTAGTTTAATGAAATTTTAGGGACGAAATGTGTTTTTTAACCTAAAAATTAAAAGAGAATTTGTTTTTTCTTTAATAATTAAAAAGGGGTTTAAAAGAAAATAATATGATTATAAGGTCCTAAATAAAGAATAATAAGTTTTAAAAATGTAAGAAG